AAAAATCTAAAAAAATGTATTTTTCTAAACAATTACAAAAGCACAATGGTAGTATTAAAAAAACATGGGAAATTATGAACGAAGTTATTGAAAAAACCAAAACTAAGTCCGAAATATTACTCTCTAGAATTGAGGATGGATTGGAGTATACAGATAAAAAAAACTATTTCCGATAAATTTAATAAATTTTTTGTAAATATCGGTCCTAAACTGGCATCCAAAATAAACAACTCGAACAATTCATTTAATAACTATCTTACTGACCATAATAGTTCATTTACTGAGAGTGACCTAAAATCTGAGGAATTTGAAGAAGCAACAAAATCAATTAGAAAAAACAAAGTTCCGGGCATCGACAACATATCTAGCAATGTAGTATATGATGTTTTATACATTTTAAAAGATCTTCTTTTAGAGGTTTTCAAGTCATCAATTAGAACTGGAGTTGTTCCAGACAAATTAAAAATTGCAAAGATTTTACCTATATTCAAAACTGGAGACGCGGCCTTGCTAACCAATTAAAGACCTATCTCAATTCTTCCAGTGTTTTCCAAACTCCTGGAAAGAATAATGTACAACCGACTTTATAAATATTTAACAGCCAATAAAATCTTAAGTGAATGTCAATACGGCTTTCAAACAAATCATTCTACGGAGCATGCAACCTTAGACAAAATTAGATCATCTTTTGATAAAGGAAAATTTGTATTGAGAGTTTTTATTGATCTTACAAAAGCTTTCGATACTGTCAACCATAAAATTCTGCTCGACAAAATGAGAAAGTACGGTATAAAAAACCAAACTATTAAATGGTTCACTAATTATCTAAAAAACAGACAATAATGTGTTATAAGACGGTAACACTAATACAAAGTTATTAAAAATAAAATGTGGTGTCCCACAGGGATCTATTCTTGCACCTTTATTAATTATTATCTACATTAACGATCTCCCTAAAGTCTCTACAAATCTCGATTGTATAATGTTTGCAGATGATACCAATCTGTTTTACTCATCTACCTCTATCAATAACGTTTTTGATAAAGTCAACATTGAGTTTCAAAAACTTAAAACATGGTTCAGTGCTAACATGTTATCATTAAACGCCCAAAAAACTAAATATATTTTATTTCACTCAAAGAAACAGAAAAATAAACTACCATCAATTCTACCCTCACTAAGTATCGAACACAAAAAAATTGAAAGAACCCAAACAATTTAATTTCTTAGTGTGATTATTGACGAAAATGTTTCATGGACAGCCCATATAAATGCCATCAACATTAAAATATCTAAAAGTATTGGTATACTTTTTAAAGCTAGACCATTTTTGTCGCAAAAAAACTTAAAACTTCTTTACTTTTTCTTTATACATAGTCATCTCACATATGCCAACATTGCTTGGGAAAGCACACACAAGACAAAGTTAATGTCGCTTTATCGACGACAAAAACATGCCTCCAGAATAATTCATAAGAACAAACTGACCCACGCCAAATCCCTATTAAATGAAATGAAAGTGTTAAACATTTACCAAATTAATATCTATGCTAATATATTGTTCATGCTAAAATACAAATTAGGACTAGTTCCAAACCAATTTACAGAAAATTTTTTTCAATCTAATATTCACAAATTTAACACAAGATCAACTGGTAACTTTATTGTACCCCGGAAAAGACAATTAAAGTTCTCAATTTTCTATTTCTTACCGCGGCACTTCTAGATAATATTATTATTATAAACCACAACACTAACACCATACATAGTATAATAAAAAGAAAAGAAAAGTCTCAACATTTAAAATATTTGTTTCATGAGAATCGTAATGTTTATGTAAACTTTACCCAAGGTTCTCGATGATAAGACTAAACTCAGTCTTCTACGAGTTCCCTACAACAGTCAAAACCCTTATCAAGTCATAGCATATTTAATTATTGCTTCCTATGTTTATGTTAACGGTATTTTGTAAAATATTAATTTTTTTGTATTGGAAGTTTATTTTGTTTATGTTATCGCAGTGTAAAAAAATTTTGTAATATATATATATATATATATATATATATATATATATATATATATATATATATATATATATATATATATATATATATATATTAGGGTGCAGTGAAACTTTAGGTGAAAATATAAATAGTAAATTATTGATATGTAATAGCAACAAAAAGTTGCCTTTTGACACGTGTTTAAATAAAGTGAATAAAATTTTCTCAAAATTTTAATGTTTTCAGCTGCCTCAAGGGGGTCAAAGTTACTGAGTTTCAGCCATAACTTTTTAAAATAAAAAACTGTATTTTTTCTTTTTAATACCTTAAGCCTAATTATTAATAGCTAGGGATTATAGCTGTAGGACCCCAAAAGAATCAAAAGAAATTAAGCAGCCGTGGCGCAGTGGTAGCGCACTTGCCTCAGAAGTGTAAGATCCGTTGTTCAAACCCCACCTCTGGGAAAGTTTTGCGACATCGGTTGGGAAGGAGGCGTGAACTTCCTATTAAATGCTCTTCCGAATGTGCTCTGTGATAAAACCGTAAGGACTTCTTGGGGCACTTAAAATCAACTTTAAAAAAAAAAAAAAGTTTTTTTTTTAGTCATTTTCACGCTGTGACACATAAAAAAGGGCCCTAAAAAGTCTTAATTCGCCATTGGTTTCACCTAACCTGTTTTAGTTATCTTGGTTATTTCACCTTTATAACTATTCAATAAATGTTTAAAACTAAATGTTTTAAGCTACTTGTTAACTTTATGTTATATTTGTAACATAAAGTTATATTCATTATATTATGAAATATAATGAATATAACTTTATGTTATATTCATTATATTTCTTTTAATACTTCTTAATATATTTCTTTGCATATCAAGAAATTGTTACTAATGTTTGATATTTTAGTTTAGCTTTTAATTTTATTTATGGCTTGCTAGATTAATGTATAAATCAATAATTACTTATGAATCTAATACAAAGTTTGCTTATTATAGAATAAGTTTTAATATGGCCATTAGGTTAGTGAAAACGAGGGTGATGCTGACTTGTCCTGTCTTTGGTATACCTAGAGAGATGTCGCAAGTTGTTTTACAAACATATGAAGATGTAATGAATCATTTCTTGCTTGTAAAACATAAACTGAAACCAACAGCTGCTACAAAAGAACCTACTATAAGAGAAATCTCTGAAAAAGTTGCACACGTTGTTGAAAAAATATTGTTAAAAGCGTCACAACCGATGAATACTCATACACGGGTATTAAAGATGGTTCGCTCCTATCATGATAAATACAGAAAACTATTGCGAAACATCAAAACTCGCAATGCTCCTCCTGCAGAGCAAGATTTTATCCAAGACCAGAGAACTCCTTAATTGATGTGCATTGGCAATGTTGATAAACTTGCATCAAATAAACTGGCCATGAAGTTTAAAAGAAAAATTGTTGAGCAGCGGCGTAGAAATAAGCATCGCAATGCCTTGTCTGTGTCTACGGTCGGTGATTTTGAAAGTCAATCTACAGCTAAAAGTGATGAAGATAATAATTACATTAATAAAGGTAATATTTTTGATTTATTTTGATGGACGAAAAGGAAAAACTCTTGAAAACATCAAGGAAGGGTTAAAGTTCTATCGACAAAGTATTACTCAAGAGCACATCTCTTTAATCGAAGAACCAGGGTCTAAATACCTTGGGCATTTATCACCATCTGGATCGTCTACCTATTTGATAAAAAGTTCTATAGCCAACTTTATAACTATCAAAAATATTGACGTTAAAAAGTTTGCAGCTGTTGGATCTGATGAAACTGCCATAAACACAGGAATTAAAGGTAGCGCAATAAGGTTGATGAAAAAAAATATAACAAACCGTTGCAATGGTTGGTGTGTCTTTAAATTTTTTAGTGCATTGATCCCAATCTGTTGGCATGCGTTAATGTTGTCGTACGAGGATAAAATTTTGGAATTAAGTAAGGCTATATAGTTTAAAAAGTAATAGGGGGGTACGCATTTTGAAAATCCAAAATAAAAAGTTTCGTTTATTCAAGGGATAACCTAATATATATATATATATATACAGGGGCGGATCTAGCATTTTAAATGGGTGATGCGAAATTTTTTTATTGACGCCCCCCCCCCCCCGCAACTTCTCTAAGGTTTAAGTATAGTCAATATAAAAAGTGGAGAAACATAAAAAGGCGTAGCGAGGGTGGCAGCTTTTTTTACGAGTGGCGTAGCTGTTTATATCATTGAATAATAACTAAATTTTGTATTGCTTTTGCAGTATCCATTTTTAGCAGAAATTTTTACAAATGTTGCCTTGGCTATTTTGTTCATAAATTAGACATTTTAAGCCTAATTTACTTAACAAAGTGCACCAACGAGAAGGTAAGCCATAGGACTTTGCACTTCATCTGAATACTGTCATTTTGCCCAAGGTTAGCCCTCCAGTACTGGATTCTTTTCTTTTCTTGAGAGGCACGTAGTGTAAAGTAATGTTGCCTAAGGTTGGCCCTCCACTTCTGGATTCTTTCCTTTTCTTGATAGGCACATCATGTTAAGTAATGTTGCCTAAGGTTAGCCTTCCATTTCTGGATCCTTTTCTTGATAGGCACGTCATGTAAAGTAATATTAGGTTATTTATTAAGGTTAAGTAACTAGAAATATAATAATAAAGGTTAGTCCTCCATTTCTGAATTTTATCTTTATTTTATATTATTAATCTTATATTATATTATATTATTAATCTTGCTTAAGGTTAGCCCTCCATATCTGGATTCTTTTTTTTTTTAATTTTAAACTGTTTTTTTTAATAATAATTTTTGTTATATTTTTTTATTGAAGTTCTATATTTTATATATATATATATATATATATATATATATATATATATATATATATATATATATATATATATATATATATATATATACACACACACACACACACACACACTCACACACACACACACACACACACACACACACACACACACACACACAATATTAGTAAAAATCAAATTAGAAATAAGTAAAATAAAAGTTAGTACACTACTAAATAAAAGCCTAAACGTCTTTCACCTGACTTTGAAAAAATGTCAATGACTCTTTCAACATCAGGAAAAATTTCTTGATGTATGGACATTAATGCTATAGAGTTAAAGCGAGACTCAATCATATTACTTCTGGAGTATGTTTTTAGCCTACGTATAACTGAAATACTTCTTTCGCATTCACAAGCTGTTATTGGAATTGTTCCTAAAATTATAAATGCTGTCCTTATATTTGGAAAACCTCTCATGTCAATGGACTTTAAAGTACCGGCAACAGTTGAAGGAATACTTGACTGGTTTTTCCAAAATAATTCCCATAAATCTAACTCAGCATGTATTGAAGTAAAATGAGGCATATCAGATGAATAGAAATTTAAAAATTCATAAAAATCAGATTTCCATGGTTTTTTAAATTGTATTCTGGACAGTACAGTTGAAGGAACTGCTGCTAGACCTTTATAAACAAACATGCCATTTTCTGGAAACCGGTTATCTAGCTCATTAATAAGATGTTCATTTAATGGAGAAGTAATGCTATGTTTAAAATAGTCACAAACTGTATTTGTTGGATAATTATCCCGGTAAACCTGGACATTACACAATCTAGGTCTCACTTCTTGTATATCAAGAGTTTTGGCCAAACTAAGAGCGATAGCGTACCATTCAGTGTGATATATATCAATTTTATTTTTAATTTCTAATGACAGATTTTTTAGATAAGTTATTTCAAAACACTGCTGGGATATGTCAAAAGATTTAGTTTGAAGAGTTACAGTAATTGCATAAAAAAAATTCATTAATTGTTTTGTATTAACTAAACTTACAATAAAAGAGAAATCTGTTAATAATCTTAAAAAAGAAGAGGATTTGGAAGCAGTTTCACTGTTATTCCTTTGACTCATTTAACCCTATCTCCTCTAAAGCATGAATAACAGGTATAAAATTATCAAAAAAAACATCAACACCTCTCAGCTTTTGAACCCATTTTGTTCGACAAGTATCTATTATTTTTTCTTGATTTGGACTTAAATATTTTTTGAGACAGTTACTACGTTTAGGAGATAAGTTAAAAAAATAAGAAATTTCTTTTACTTGGCCAAGAAGATTTTTTACTTTTTGAACTTGGCATGCAGCTGCTACTACTAAACTAAGTCTATGGCTTGCACAATGAACAAATATAGCTTTATGATTAAGAGCTTTTATTTGAGAAGCAACTCCTTTATATTCACCTGCCATACAACCCGCACCGTCATACCCTTGGCCTCTACAATTTTGAATATTAAGTCCAAACTCTTGAAGTGCATTAAGTACATTTAGAGATAGACTAAGACCAGATGTACCAGTCTTGCAATCAATAAATCTTAAGAAATCCTCGCAAATCTCATTATTTGAATTTACATATCTTAAAACAAGTGACATTTGTTCAGTATTTAAACAGTCAACTGCTTCATCACAAAGAATTGAAAAAAAAAATTGAATGCTTGATATTTTTTATTAAAACTTCCTCAATTGCTTTCCCACAAGAATCAATAAGTTGGTTTTGGGTAGTTTTTGATATATAGGTTGCATTTTTTGGACTTGAGGAACAATGATTAGCTAATATTTGATCACCAGCATCAACACGAAAATTTAAAAGCTCTATGAAGTTACCAACTCCAACTTTTTGTGTAGAAGATTGCCCAATATCAGGATGATATTTGCTATCATTACGATCTCCAAGATATGTTGAAACATCATACAAAGAATTTAATTCATTATATGAAGGAATAATAACTGAGTTGGAGTCTAATGACTTAACTATTTTTGAATCTACAGAAGGTTCAAAAGGCAACTCTATGAAAGCATTGTCTTTTTTAAAGTTAATTTTAGATTGAATTTTGACATGTTTTGCAGAATCAAGTTTTTTTTTTTTTATTTGTTTCAGTTTTAGGACTAAAAAAGTGTAAAGGATAAGTAGCATCGTTTTTTATAGCCAAATTCTTATTATTACTAGAAATTAGTTTAGGCTTTTTAATATTTGGTACAAAATGGTTCGGTGTCCAGTTATTATTATTTTGCATCGCTGACATAATATCAGTATTACACCATAAAATATTTAAAACATTTTGATCTTGATTTTTAATTGAACGAAATGGAAAAATAATTGTATTAAAAAGTTTTTTGAATTTTTCTAAGCCAAAATTAGGATAAATTGATCTAATAGGAATATTTAAAACTGATGACAAAACAATTAGACATAAAAATGAAGAAAACTTGTTAGCTCGGCAGTTGATCAATGCTTCCATTATTATAATTTCAGAAGCTGATTCACTGTTAATTAATTTAAATTGATCTGAACATTCAAAAGAAACACAGGCTACTAGAACACTGGAAAGATTAGAAAAATTATTGTTTTCAACCTGTTTAACAAAAAGGGAGTACCTCGCATAGTAGGAAGCTTTTTCAAACAATTCAATTGAAGTAAGAAGCCTCAATACATTAGCTGTCTTCAAAAACGAATTACTTAAAAGAGAAGCTGAACTGTAGAGGCAATTTCCATCTTCAGATGACCTTAAATAAAATAAAAAGTATACTAAAACAAGCTCAGTTTATATTAAATACTAGCTGGAAATATAAAATACCATTAACTTTATTAATAGGGTTTTACCTTAAAGCAACATAATCTTTAGTATCTTCTTGCTTTGGGATAAAACGATCCATTTCAGTATTTTCAGAAGACTGACTATGTGGCTGAACTATACTCTTATTATTTAAAACTTTCAATTCTTCAGTCAACTGGTTTTTATATTTGCGAATATTGGGCAAATGTCTAGCCTTAATTGCATTTGAGACTAAAAAATTCATTTTTTTTTTCAAACTTTAGTTTACAGGCAAAGTCCAACGACGAAAATTACGAGCGAAGAACGATTATCGGGTGGCATATCAGAATTTTGTAAAATTTGAACGATTTGGAGCAACTGATGCAATTGTTCTAAACTTTCTACAAATTTGATTGGTTATAAATAACATTTCTTATCTTTTTTGTAAAGTTTTTTGCGGAAGTTTTGTAGCAACTGATGCAATTGTTATTTTATTAAATAGTGATTGGTTTAAACTGTTTTTTAACCAATCATTAATGATTTAGAGTACAATTGCATCAGTTGCTACAAAGTGATCGGAAAAATTTGTGAAAAAGTACAAATATGATTGGTTAAAACGTACTTTTTTTTTTTTTTAAACCAATCACATTTGTACAGTCATTCTGGGTAACTTTGAATTTGCGGGTAACATTGAACTAAACGTGTAAATGTTTTTAAATTTTTTTTTCTTTGGTATTTTCTTTGCCTGTTGCTTTAACAAAGAATAATATGATGAATTATCTTTTTTTACAAAAGTTTGTCCAAAGAAAATTAAATTTTATTTCTCAAAAATAATGTTTTCCTCCATTTCCAGTTACACAGTCTAATGTGGTGATAACATCGTGTGTTTTCAATTTAGAATATTTGGTATTATATTGTAATTATCTGAATAGATTTTTAAGTATTTTATTGAATTATTTTTCGAACTTTAATACAAACTCAAAATAATAGGATTTAACATGTTTTTTGCTACAAAAAGGATATTTATTTACACTTAGCTAAAATATAACCAAATTCAGGGTAACTTTAGACAATCAATATTTTCCAAAAATGCTTTTTTTGTTGTCTGAGTAACATTGCAATAATACATAATAAATAATAGGCATCTTTTTATTATAGTATTTTTATTATATAATGATATATGATATTATAAATATTAAAAATTATAACATATATTACTAATATATTAATTTTTGATATTTATGGCTATCTTGATAGATTTAATAATATATTTTATTAATAGCAAATATGCGATTTATTAAATAATTTTCATTAATAACATAAATCATCTTTATATTTTTAGCATTCATAAAATGCCAAGAAAATGTTCGACAAGTCATCCTGGCACCAGAAAATATGGCACTAAATCTAATTACACCAATTCTACACTTCAAGAGGCTTTAGCCAAAATTAAATTAGAAAAAATGTCGATTGGTGAAGCTTCTAAAATTTATAAAGTACCTAAAGCAACATTATTTTATAAGCTAAAAAATAAACACTGTAAATCAGTAGGGCGCCCTATTGCCCTTAGCATTGATGAAGAACTTTGTTTTGAAAATCACTTACTTTATTTAAGTGACAAAGGTATACCAATTGGAATTAATGATTTTAAAAGTATTGTCAAAATCTATTTGGATGATAGTGGAAAAAATATACAACAGTTTAAAGATAACCGACCAGGTTGGGAGTGGTGTAAACTTTATCTTGACAGGCATCCATCATTAAAAGAAAAAGTATCTCATTGTATTTCAAGGAAACGTGCACAGATTAATTATTGTCAAATAAAATTATTTTTTCAAAATCTAGAGAAGGAATTAAATAGAGTAACGCCAGATAACATTTACAATATGGATGAAACAGGGTTTCATGATGACCCTGGAAAAAAAAAACTTATTTTTCGTCGATCCTCTCGCCATCCAGAACTTATAAGAAACACAACAAAAACTTGTTACACTGTTGTTTTTTGTGGAAATGCCTCAGGAAAACTAATTCCACCATTTTTCATTTTTAAAGGAAAACACAGTTGGTCTGACTGGCTTTTCAATGCACCAGAAGGATCAAGAATGGCAACTTCTTGCAGTGGCTGGATGGAAATTCAAATATTTGAAGAGTGGCTGTTAAATCACTTTGTTCCAAATATTATAAATAAGGAAGGTAAAAAAATTCTGATTTGCGATAATTTAAGTGCTCATATATCTTTAAAAGCCTTAAATATATGTGAAAAGTATAATATAACATTTATATGTTTGGTACCCAATTCCACACACCTTTTACAACCTTTAGATGTTGGATATTTCTCGAGTTTAAAAGCTAATTGGAGGTCAGTTCTTAATCAATGGCGTAAAACATCCAGAGGAAAAAAGGTTAATAATCTGCCAAAAAATTTATTTACGCAGCTCATTAAATCTACTCTTAACGTTGGTAAAGAAAATCTAGAACATAATCTCCAAGCAGGATTTAAGGCTACTGGCATATATCCAATTTTACCAGAACATGTTCTCTCCAAATTACCCAGTTTTACAAATATAGATATTCAACTCAATATTGGAGAATCGTTTAGGAATTATGTTGATGATATTCATCTTAATTATGAAGTAAGCAAAAAATTTAAGTTACCAATAACAGCAGGGAAAAGTGTATCAGTCAGTGAGGTAGAAGCATACTATAAGGAAAGAGACAATAAAAAAAAAAGTCAAGATAATATTCGAGCAAAGAAAAGAGGAAGACCACTTGGATCAAATAATATGGTTATGAAAATAAACAAAAAACTTAATATTTTACAAAGTTCAAGCATTGTAAATGTTAATCAAGTTATTGAAGACGATGAACAAGTTTTACCTGTATCTCAAAATGATGCCGTTTTTTCATTGGAGCAAATAAACAATCACTATGTACATGTTTTCCTTGATCATGATTATTTTGTAAAAGAGTTAGTTGAAACTCAAGACTAAAAGAAGGAAACACTGTAATATTTAGTTTTATAGTCAATGGTGTTTATTTGTAGAGAATTATATAAAAATAATGTCTTATTTAATTTTTTCTTTTATAACCTTAAAAATTATTTTGTGAATATTTTATTGAAAAACTTGTTTGTTTATTCTCGAAATATTTTATTGAAAAACTTGTTTGTTTATTCTCGAAATATTTTATTGAAAAACTTGTTTGTTTATTCTAGAAATATTTTATTGAAAAACTTGTTTGTTTATTCTCGAAATAGTTTAACTAGATTTTTTAAAAAATTAATTTAAACTTATACAAAGAAATTTAAACAACTTTTTAGATTTAAAAGATTAAAATTGACATTCAGTTTAATAGTGTTCAAAGTTACCCGAAATGCGAGGGTAACTTTGAACGCCTACTTGAACATTGTTTTTTTACATAATATCTAGCAAATTTAAAAAAATGATAGCAAACTAGAAAAAAGAGATCATCAGAACACTCTTTATGTAAAAATATTTGTTATCTAGTTAGTAAAACAATTTTTGTTGAGATAAACCTAGCGCAAACCGTTCAAAGTTACCCGTAATGACTGTATTTAATAAAGAACAATTGCATCAGTTGCTCCAAAACGCAGGAATTTTGTATAAGTAACGAATAAGTAACTATAGAGATAAAATAAAATCAAGTTTAAATGAATTTTAACCGAGTTTAAAACAAGTATTTTATTTTTTGTGAATACCAGATTGCAATTTCTATATTAATTTTTTATTAAGAAAAAAAAGTGAAAAAGAGATACACTTAAATTTAGCGTTGAAAAAAGACTGATGCATGCGCATCATTCGCGACACCCTGGATCCGCCCCTGATATATATATATATATATATATATATATATATATATATATATATATATATATATATATATATATATATATATAAGTAATAAAAACACTTATTCTGTTTCTTTCTTCAACAACTTGTTTCACTTTCAGTAGTTTCATCAGGAAGCATCCTTATCATTATGCTTCCTGTTCATCTAAATGCTTACTGATAAACCTACTGATGGTGAAACAAGTTGTTGAAGAACAAAGTTAGATAAGTATTTTTACTAATTTGTTATTGCTCTGTTTTTTAAGAACTTTGAGTACTTTATTTGTAGAATACACTAACATAATTTATATATCTAATATATATATATATATATATATATATATATATATATATATATATATATATATATATATATATATATATATATATATATATATATATATATATATATATATATATATATATATATATAATACAGCCTTGTCTATTTTCCTGAAAAAATTTACTTGAATGCTTATTACTTATCCATATTATTTGTTTTTAAAGTTACTTATATTTACAATAGACTAGATCTAGAAAGTACAAACCTAATATACAAAAAAATGTAGTTAAGTGATCTATTAATGCAGCTCGTAAAAAAAGAATAACAAATCAACTAGGCCATGCTGCTTTACGAGCAGAGATTTCAAAAAGAAAGACAAGCAAAAGACAAAATATGGATAAAAAAGAAAAAAGAAAGCTGGAGCGAGAATTACGTGTGCTGTATAGGTACAGCAAGTGGTGTGACTTGCAAATTAGGTGCTGCAAGTGGTGTGACTTGCAAAAAGGTACATGCAAGTGGTGTGACTTGTAATTTTGGTGCCGCAGGTGGTGTGACTTGCAAAAAGACACCAAGTCGTTCCAGGTTAGCTTGCACGTGTCATCTTTTTTATTCCTTAGTTAGTTTTCACATGTATTACACTGTTTAAAAAGTTGTTTGAGTAAATATCAAATGGATTTTTTTTGAAAATTGTAATAAAATTTAGTGCATAGTCTTTCAAATTACAAAATGTTTTAATTTTTATACAAAAAAAAGGTATTTATACAAAATATTTGAGACTTTTTTTTTTTTAAAGGTTTTTTATTAACAAAAAAATAAAAAGTATGTGAAAATTTACAGAACCAAAAGTAGAAATTGACATGTCATTCTGATTTGGCATGGAATGACTAAACTGCAAGTGGTGTAACTTACAATTTTTTGATAGACGGCTCTGGCTTACGTTCTCGTCGTGTCTATTGTTAACAATGGTTATTATTAAGTATCATTATTGAAATTTAAATTTTTAATCATTTACTAAAAGCCAAGGCAAATTAATTACAAATTTTTTTCAAAACAATATTTAGTTTGTCTTTTTCTTTAGTAAAGAAATTTTATACTATTTTCTATTATTTTGAATAATATTAATTTAATTTTTTTTTTAGATTGGAGAGGCGGGGGGGGGGTTATGCGCCCCTAC